CCCCAAAACCCCAAAACCCCAAAACCCCAAAACCCCAAAACCCCAATTTCTCACAAATGATTGGATAATTTCCTTCCTCAAATATAAATATCTAAGAGAGACCATTCTTAGTCCATCTTTAGAAATTTAGGATCGTGTCCATCATCGCTCTTATTTTCTCCCTCTTTCTTGCTGTCTTTCTCTTTATCGGCCTCTTGCTCTTTAAGAGCTTGGTCAAGATGCTTTTTGAAATCATCAAAAGGATTTTCACTCTGAAGTCTTTCAGAAAGACTCTCAAGGATTCCTTGGTTCTCAGCCTTGGCTTTGATTTTCTTAGAATTTTCGATCATTTCTTCTTCAGCTCTAAGAGCATCCTCTCTACACTTATCTATCAGTTCCTTGGCTCTCTGGTCCATTACAGATCAAGATGTAATTCTAATATCTTTAAAATCCTCAAATATCTGTTCCTCATCCTCAAACTGTTGATTTCTCTCAAGGTTGTTCATAGCAAGTTGGTTGATATAGTCATTGGCTTCTGTAGCGATTTCCTCATTTGACTTCACAACGCCAGCTTTAAGCGAGACAAAGTCATCACCTTTACCACCTCCAATAGATACATAGAGTGCAGATTCTTCCATTTCCTTGTTCTGCTCCTCAATCTCCCTCATTTTCTTAGCCATTACACGGTTTTCCTTACTTTCCCATGTATTATTCTCAAGCTCGTACCAGTCAGCGCCTTGATCTTTAATTGACGAATGAGTCACCCCTCCCTTATCAAACTCCAACAATCTATTCCTCTTCTGCACAGCTTGGGCATAAGCAGGATCTAGGCTTTTATTCTCACTCTGGTCGACTAACTTCCAAGATTCTACATAAACATTTGTGTATCCCTTCTGTTTTCAAAAGAGTCAGTCTCCCTCTCCTTCCTGCTCACAAATAATCCTTCCTCAGCCAGTACAGTTACTCACAAGTTGATGTACCAGGCCTTGGCAATGACACATTTGCCTAGTTCCAAACTTAGCAGCCTTCTTGTTCATTTCCCTTTGTTCTTCATTCCTCTTTTTTCTGGCCTCTTCTTCTAATTTCTTCCTTTTAGCTTCCATGTGATCTTTCTCTATGGCATTACAATCAACAAGTACCAGTTCTAAAATTTGAGAAGTCTGGCTTTCGCTATACAACTACAATTATCAACGGGCCAAGCCACCTAAATAAATACTTATTTTGCCGCTTTGGTCAATTACCAAACACCTCTATTCACAAGATTTAGATGCAGAAGTCAAACGATTTTTAAGAGCTTTTGAAAAACCTAAAGAGGCTCAGTCTTGGATACAAAGAATCATGACGAAGATAGACGACCAAACTTAAATTTCCTCCCTACAGCAATAATCTGGAGGTAATAGAGCAGTTAAGGAATTGACCACGAGAAATTGTACTGTACTTGTCTTAGGAAGATATCGTGAGATTTGATTGGAAGAGATACCAGATGTAAGTAAATAGAAATATAAGTAGACAAAGTTTAACATTTGTGTGTAATTCAAGTGAGGATGAGATGAAGAACTTGTATGGTATCTTCAAAATTGTGTATCAAGATGTAAGGGAGGGTCTACCAGTTCTTTGTCAAATCTTGCTGCGTTCTTCTTGTTCATTAATATTCAATTAATATTAGTTATTATGGGGTTTTGGGGTTTTGGGGTTTTGGGGTTTTGGGGTTTTGGGG